GGTTTGGTGGCTTGAAACTCAAACTGGGTGCCTGTGTGCCCCAAATCCCGAGAGAATGGAGGAGGAGGGATTGCAACCGGCCATACCCCCGGGGGATGATTTCTCACTTTCTCTCTCTCTGTCTCTCTGGTGAGCACACACACTCTAGCAAAAATACTCCCTTAAAAAAAAAAGAAAAGAAAAGAAAAAAAAAAAAGGAGGGCACAGGAGAATACAAATCAACAGGAGTTGAATGGAAAGGCTTCTCCCCTCTCCAGGGCTGGGACTGTCCCCACCTTCCTAGTTTAAATGGCAAAAGTGTAATTTATCAGGACAGATTTTAACGCTTTTCTGAATCTACAAGATACACTAAGCCTATACATCTACAAAGTAGCAAACCCAGAAGAAATGTAAGAAACTGTTCACTTAGAATCAGTGTAAATTGGGAACCAGCAGTTGGTGTAATGGCTATGTGGCTGGACTCTCACGTAGTCAAACGCGGTTCGAGTCCCAGACCCGGTGGCTTAAAACTCACGCCGGACGCGTGTGCGTGCGTGCCCAAGATCCCGAGAGGAGAATGGAGGAGAAGGGATTGTGGCGTGACCATCCCCCCATGGGGAGTGATTTCTCGCTTTCTGTCTCTATGTCTCTGTCTGCCTGGCGAGTGCACGCGCCCTATAGCAAAAATCTCTCCAAAAAAAAAAAAAAAGAATCAGTGTAAATTATGACCACTGTACTCCAAATATGGATGTTTGAGATTTAATAAAAAAATAAACTGTCAATAATTCATCCACTCTGGGAGCCGGCTGGTGGCGCGGTGATTAAAGTTGCTAGATTTCCACATGGCGGACTGTGGTTTGAATCCCAAACCTGGCAGCTTGCTTTCTCGCTTTCTCTTTCTCTCTCTCTCTCTGGTCAAATTTTTAAAAATAGTAACAACAAATGGAAATAAATGAATAATTCTTTAAAAGCATAATAATTCATCCACTCTGGGCTAGTCAGAATCAAAGAACACAGTCCAACTGATCAAGAGGAATTTCTCCTGAACATTTTTGTCTCAAACAAAAGATATATTTACTTAAATGTATTCATTAGGTGTTCACGGAGCCATTACCACCAAATAAAGACCATATATTTCACTGCCTGCCTCACTATGTACTGAGTTCTCTAAGGCAGTGAGCAGTTATCAGCTAACTAAACAAGAATAGAGGTGACTTTAGGGAAACACTGTAAAAGTACAATACCACTTTATATTAGTCAGAATACAATTGGCTTTTCTGTGATTAAAAAAAACAATTTCAGTGTATTAATCCAAAACAAATTTCCTTCTTGCTCATACTAGATGTTCCATGTGACCTAGCACAAACCATGCTCTGTACTATCAGTCAGGTACTTTGGCTGAGGAAGTACCAGCTTAATTGTACCATCTGAACACGTGGCCAGGAAAGGGTGGTGGAAGGAAAAAAAGAGACTGGAGAACCCCACGTATGTCACTTCTGCTCATATTTCTCTTTTTAAAATTTGCTACAGAGCACATGTGTTCTCCAGCGAGAGACAGACAGAGGAAAAGAGAGAGAGAAAAAGGGACATTCCCACATAGGAGACTGCAGTTCAAGTCCTGGACCTGGGGGCTTGCTTTCTCACTTTCCCTCTCTTGTGTGCTATGTCTCTCTCTGGTCAAACTGAAATAAATGAATGAATAAATAAAATTAAATAATTATTTTTTAAAAAAGATTTGGAGCATGCATATATACATGCCTGACATGTTTTCCAAGGCACCAGGCCTAGGATTCAAACTGCCTGGACGGCCATGTGGAATCCAGTTGCCCAACCATGCCACAAGCTGACCCCTGCTCATATTTCATGAGCCAGAATTAATCTCACGTCTCCTTCCAACCACAAGGGATTAAGAAGTACTTTGTCAGCACCAGCAGAAGGCATAATGGTTACATCACTGGACTCCCATGTAGTCCACGGTGGTTTGAGTCCTGGACACAGCAGCTTAAAAAACTCACACCAGGCACGTGTGTGTGCATGCGTGCCCAAAATCTCAGGAGCAGAATAGAGGAGGGGGATTATGGGGCCAGACCCCTGTGGGGTGATTTCTCACTTCCTGTCTCTCCAGTGAGGGCACAAACCATATAGCAAAAATATCTTTAAAAAAGAAGTATTATGTCTAGGCCCAGCAAGAGATGGCCTGGTGGTTAAAGCACTGGACTCCCACATGGTAACTGCAGTTTGAGTCCAAGACCCAGTCGCTTGAAACTCATGCCAGGCACATATGTGTGCATGCCCAAACTCCCAAGAGGAGAAGGGATTGTGGCATGACCTTCCCCCTGAGGGGGTATCTTCTAGCTTTCTGTCTCTCTGGCAAGCACATGCACTCTGTAGCAAAAAAACAAACAAACAAAACAAAACAAAAAAACGGAATACTCTAGTACTGTGAGAATTCAAAAATAAATATTCAAAGTTCAGAATGGCTACTTAGCAATTCTAGAATTTAAAGGGTGACTAGGCCTTCTATCTCACTCTATGCTCGGGGAGCCTATTTTTGAAATGGTTATATGATAGAGAGTAATATATAGCATATTTGAACTGTAAATACCAAATTTTATTTATAAACTTTTAACACTACACTTACAATTCCAGGTCTAACCTAACAGTGTGCCTCTCTGCACACTATGGTAGATCCAATAGAAAATCTGTTCATTACTGATGGGACCAGCAAATGGTGTAATGGTTACATCACTGGACTCCCACATAGTCAAATGCAGTTCAAGTCCCTGACCTGGTGGTTTGAACCTCACGCCAGGCATGTGTATGTATGTGCCCAAAATCCCAAGAAGAAAATGGAGAAGGGATTACATCATGGCCTCCCCCCTGGGAGCTCATGTACCCTATAGGAAAATTTCTAAAAAAAAAAAAAGAAAAAGAAAAAGAAAATCTGTTCCTTACTGACCACAAATTCTGAACATTCTGAGGAATCCCCTTCTCTCTCTCTCTCTCTATATATATATATATACACAATCATTGTTGTGCTTTTCTTTCATATCCTGTTTGTCAACCTGAGGTTCCTGGTGTACATTTGTATGGATATCAGCATTTCTTCTCAATATTCCTTTTTAAAATTTTTTAGAGGTTTTTGCCTTAGGGCACATACACTCGCCAGAGACAGAGAGACAGAGACAGTGATAGGAAAAGTGAGAAATCACCCCACCCTGGGGGGATGGCATACTGCAACCCCTTCTCCATTCTCCTCCCAGGACCTCGGGCACTCATGCACACTGTCGTGCCCAGAATGATTTTCAAGCAACCGAGTCCAGGACTCAAACTGCTTTGGACCACGTGGGAATTCAGTGATGCAACCACTACGCCACCTGCCGGCCCCATTTCTTCTCAACATTCCAATAGAATGAATTTAAACCAGTGATTCACCATAAATTTTTGTGGTTTTGGAATTTTCAAAACTTTCTCATGTGTATATTCTGATTTTGCTCCTCCCTTCCTTCTCTTTCCTTCTATTGAATATAAATAGCTCTGTATTATAATGATCTGGCATGTAATTTTATTTTATTTAAAAAAAAGAGTTTCAATAGCCATGACAGTAGTTTAAAGCTTACACTAAGAGGGGGGCCAGCAGTTGGCATGGTGGTTAAGGTGCTGGACACTCTCACAGGGATGACCATGGTTCGAGTCCTGGACCTGGTGGCTTGCTTTCTCACTTTCCCTTCCTCCCTCCCTCCCTCTCAGTCTATGTATCTCTCTCTGGTCAAATTAAATTGATAATGAATAAATAAACTTAAATAATTATTTTTTTTCCAAGAATTATTTAACTTTATTTATTTATTTATTTATTTTAATCTGTCTAGAGAGGGACAGATTGAAAGACAGAGAGAGAAAGAGAAAGTGAGAAGGGAAGCCACCAGGTTCAGGACTTAAACCACGGTTGACTATGTGGTGGTCCAGCACCTTTAACCACCATGCCACCTGCCAGCCCCAAATAAATAATTATTTAAAAAAATAAAAGCTTACATTCAGAGAGGCTATCTAAATATGAAACAGATGAATACTTACATTCTGAGAGGCTATCTAAATATGAAACAGATGAATAAATATATCTTGGGCAAAATAAATTACAGATATGAGAAAGAAAATTAGAGTAGGCATATGTTTTGTATGGAAGAAGATTAGGATGGAGAATGGACCACTGCAGAAAAGGGTGTTACATAAGCAACTGAGAATTCTGAGATGACCTTCAACCTCTTTGGCTGACAAATTATCCTCAACTAGATGCCTAGGGTTAAAAACAATTGATGCCAGTTGGGTAAAAGAGACAATTGCTTCTATTTATTTGGCCTCATTTATTTCTGAAGTAAGAAAAGACAAGTAAAAAAGCAGTATATATGAATCAACATCAAATGATCATTGGTTTTTATTGTTTGCAGGACTGTTTACAGATATTGGTATTGAAAAACATTCAAAATCTAAGAGTAGCACTTTACTTTTAAATCAAAAACATTTCTGGAGTGTTTTCCTTATTTATTTTTACTATGATTTCCAGTTTTTATATAATAGTCATATATCCTTATGGTGTACAGTATGGTTTTTCACCACATGTGTACAGTGTGTAATAATCAAATCAAAGGTATACATATGATGATGACATCTCCAACATTCAACATTATATTATGTGTGCATTCAATAGTCATACTACTCGTTTTTTTTTCCTTTACTTTTTTAAGAGAGATTTTTGCTATAGGTCATGTGTGCTCACCAGAAAGACAGAGAGACAGAGACAGAAAATGAGAAATTACTCCCCAGGGAAGATAGCCACACCCCAATCCCTTCTCCTCCATTCTCCTCTTGGGATTTTGGGCACGCAGGCACATGCGCCTGACATGAGTTTTAAGTCGCCAGGTCTGGGACTCAACCCACGGTCTACTGAGAGTCCAGCAATATAACCATTACACCATCTGCTGGTCCCTATACTACTTACTTTTTCCCCATATTATTCACTTAAAAAAAATATGAGACACTTGTTGAATTTGTGTATCATCCTTGCACAGGGGACATGCTAATCTTCTCTGTATCATTCCAATTTTATATATGCCCTCCTGAAGTGAGCATGCACAGCCCTTTATATAAGAGAGTAGTATAAAATACCATAGATTAGACCCAGTGTAGAAGGTATTAATATTACCATATTTCAAATAGCACAGTAAAACTGAAAAGAAAAAGTGATAGTTAAAGAAGACTGCACGGGGCCGGCAGGTGGCATGGTGGTTAGGGGCGCTGGATTCCCACATAGCCAACTATGGTTCAAGTCCTGGACCTGGTGGCTTGCTTTCTCACTTTCCCTTTCTCTGTCTCTCTCTAATCAAATTAAAAATAATAATAATAACAAATGGAATTAAATAAATGTTTTTTAAAAAGGGAAGACTGCAACCATGAGCTCTTATATTAAGAGTAACAAAGAGTTCTAACTATTTTGAGTCAATAATATTGTAATTTATAAAGATTTGGTAACGTCAGACTCTTGTATAATGATTTTCTTTTTCATGAAGGCTTACCTTTAACTTTTGTCACCTAATGCAGGAGTACCAACCCATGAGCTATGGACCAGTATTGGTCTATGGCCTGTTAGGAACCAGGCTACAAAGTAGGAGGTGAGCCGTGGGTGAGTGAGCAAAGCCTCATCCGTATTTATGGCTACTCTCTATCACTCACATTATTGCCCAAGCTTTGCCTCCAGTCAGATCAGCGGTGGCATTAGATTGTCGCAGGAGCGTGAACCCTATTGTGAAATGCACGTTTAAGGGATCTAGGTCGCATGCTCCATATGAGAATCTAATGCCTGATAATCTAGGTGGAGCTGAAGTAATGATGCTAGCACTGGGGAGCAGCTATAAATAATGCATTACGGTGAGTTGTATTATTATTCCATTGTATGTTACAATGGAAATATAGTGCACTATAAATGTAATGTACTTGAATCATCCCAAAAACATTTCTCTTTACTTCATCCATGGAAAAATTGTCTTCCATGAAAATGATCCCTATTGCCAAAAAGGTTAGGGACCGCTGATCTAATGTACTTTATTAATAGCTATTTAAAATTTGGCTTTTCTCCTAAAATAGTGTACTGACTCCTCTCTAGGCAAAAGGTACAGGCCTCCTTGGCTGGAATTGCCACCTTCTGATAAGTCATAATGTGGACCTTGACCTCCAGCCACTTTGGAGAGCTACCAAATCAAGACAGAAAAATCTGATCTTACTAAAGACCACATAGGAAGTTCTTGGCAAAGTCAGACGAGAAAACAGAGTTTATGAATTCCTAGTGCCAACATTTCTTCAGTGTTTATTTCTTGAGAGTAAGAGAGAGAGACAGGGAGACGTACCCTTGACAGGGTCTTGCCATGCCACGGTCCGCCCCTCCAAGCCTCCTGGCCAGCCAGGATCACGGTTACATATGTTCTGGTCAACCTGGGATCTGAACTCAGGCCTCCATGTGGTTCCAGTATTGTGTGATGATGCCCTACTACCTATGCCACTACAGCTGGGCCTAAGTACTGACGTTTTTAAACTACTACCTCTGTCTCTTGTTTTGAGAACTCTATTAGACCATTTTTTCCTTTAAAAATTTTTATTTGTTTCATGAGAGAGAGAAAATGCACACATGCATATGAAAGGCAGACAGACAGAAAAACACCCTTTGCAGGGTCCAACCATGCTGTGGTTCCCTTCCTCAAGCTCTCCAATGAGTCAGGATCTTAGGTGCAAATGCTCACTGTGTTGATCTGAATCAGACTGACTCAGGATCCCAACCCTCAGTTGGCCATGTGGCTCCTACCACCATAGATCAATCAGTACACTACTGCCTGTATCACTGTAGCTGGGTCTGGAATTTTTTTCTGATGTAGAAAATTCTGGAATTTTGCTTGCTTTTTCCATGACCAATTTAATGGAACAGCAAAAAGAGCTGTAGGAGTCAGAGTTTTTCTTTTTTGTTTGTTTTGTGTTTTAGAAGTTTTTGCCTTAGGGTGAGAGCACTCGCTGGAGAGAGAGAGACAGAGACAGTGAGAGGGAAAGTGAGAAATCATCCCCAGGGAGAATGGCCAAGTCTCAATCCCTTGTCCCCCACTCTCCTGGGTCTTGGGCATGCATGCACACATGTCCGGTGTGAGATTGAAGCCACTGGGTCCTGCACTCAAACTGCAGTTAGCCGTGTGAGAGTCCAGCGACATAACTGCTACACCATCTGCTGACCCGTAGGAGTCTAAGATTTAAGTCTTAAAAAAAATTATAATGAAAAACTTCAACAAACCCTTTTGATACATCACTCAGCTTCAAGAATCTTAAACTGGGACCAGCAGTTAACGTAATGGCTATGTTGCTGAATTCCCATGTAGCCAGCTGCAGTCCAAGTCCTGGACCTGGTGGCTTAAACTCATGCCAGGCATGTGCGCCGGTGTGCCCAAGATTCCGAGAGGAGAATGTAGGAGAAGGGATTGTGGCGTGGCCATTCCCCCGGGGTGAGGGGGGGTGATTTCTCACTTTCTGTCTCTCTCTGTCTTTCTGGCTAGTGCACACACCCCATGGCAAAAACCTCTCCAAAAAAAAAAAAAAAAAAAAAACTTATTCTCATTTCAACTATATCCCATTGAATTTCTTTCTCCCACATAATTTTGAAGCAAATCTCATCATACCATTTATCCATAAATACTCGGTCATTGGAAAAGTCATGACACATTTTTGCATAGAAAAATACATGATGACTTTTCCAACAACCCAATATTTCAGCAAGCATATCTAAAAGTTGTACCCAGGACCAGCAGGTGGCATAGTGGTTAAGCGTTGGACTCCCACATAGTTGACCGTGGTTCTAGTGCTGGACCTGGCAGCTTGAGACACATGTGCATGCCCAAAATCCCCAGAGGAGACTGGAGAAAAAGGGACTGCAGCATGGCCATGCCCCCTGGGGGTTAATTTCCCTCTTTCTGTCTATCTCTCTATGTCTCTCTGGCAAACCCATGCACCCTATAGCAAAAATCTGTCAAAAACTAAAAAAATAAATAAAAGTTGTAACCACAATTTTTTTATCATCATACCTAAAGTATTTAATAATTATTATTTAATACTATCAAATACATAGTCAGCATTCAAAATTCCAACTGTCTCATCAACATAATAATTTGTTTATTTATTTGGGCTAGCCTCATAGTACAGTGCCTAAGTGCAATACATCAGGAGTTAGATCCCACATAGTTGACCATGATTTGATTTCCAGCCCCAGTGACTTAAAAAACATGCCAGGTGCATGTGCATGTATGCCCAAAGTCCAGACAGGATGGAAAAATGGAAGAGAACAAATTGTGACATGACCACACTCCACTGGGGGTTGCTTCACCCTCTCTCCCCATAAGTGCACAGCTCTCAGGCAATTAAAGTAAAAAAGGTTTAAAAAAATAAATAACTATAAGTTTATTTATTTCTTCCATGAGAGAGTAACATAGAGAGACAGGCAATCCCAACAAGGTCTTCATGCCACAATTCATCCCTAGTCTCAGCTGGCTGGATCATGGGTACACACATGCATGTCTGACATGTCCAGAGAGGTCCCAAGATGCAAACCCAGAACCTTTCCCATGAGCGCAGTTGTGTCATCTCTGTTCCACCACCTAGCCCCAATATGACCATTTTTTTCATTTATTTATTTATTGGAGAGATTTTTTACTATAGGACGCATGCACTTGCCAGAAAGACAGAGAGAGATAGAAAGACAAAAAGCAAGAAATCACCCCCCGGGGGGGATGGCCACGCTGCAATCTCTTCTCCTCCATTCTCCTCTTGGGATCTTGAGCATGCACACACACAAATGCGCCCGGTGTGAGTTTAAGCCGCCGGGACTAGGACTGAAACCGCAGTCAACTACATGGGAGCGACATAGCCATTATGTTAACTGCTGGTCCCCAATATGATCGTTTTTAACAGTTTATTGGATCAAGGTCCTAATAAACTTCACATATTGTGATTCACTATGTATTTCTTAGATCTTTCAAATTTTCTAACCTTTCTCTTATTTCCCTTTTCTCTCTTTCTTTCTAATTTATTAATATTTGTTGAAGAAACCAGGTCATTTGTCCTATAGGCACAGATTGGATTTTGCTGATTATAACCCTGTGATATTACTTAACACATTCTTCAATTCTCTTTTTAAATTGATGGTTGAGGAACTGGCAGGTGGCATGGTGGTTAAGGGCGCTGGACTCCCACATGGCTGACTGCAGTTTGAGTCCTGACCTGGTGGCTTGCTCTCCCCCCCCCACCACCCTTTGGTCAATTTAAAATAAATAAATAAATGGATAAAGTTAAATAAAATAATTCTTAAAAAACTTGATGGTTAAAAAAAATAAATTGATGGTTGTATCTAAGACATCTTTAAAGATCCAAATTTGGTTGTCTTTGACCAGGGTACTTGATAGATGTGCTGTGTTTTCATCAGGAAGTCCTAATGTCTGTTTACTTCTTATTTCATCATGTTAGCCAATGACAGTGCTCACTGTCTAGAAGCATTCATTCATTAAAAATTGTGAAATGATGATATTATAATTCTATTACTCCTTCATTTATTAGCAAGATTAAAAAGAAAGTTTCCCTTATTTAATATATAGCTCCCCAAATGTATAGTTCACAAAGCAATGGCAGGATAAATGCTTACTTAATCCTTTCTTTTTATTAGCAATTTTCAAAATAATAAGTTAGGTGACTAGTATCCTATGATGATGACCAACTAGTTGTTTTTTAGTATCATTATGTACTCATAGCTTTAAACATATTTTCTGTGTTTCAATACATTGTAATTATTATCCTTATTGATGATCAAATCTTCCCATCTTTGGTCAATGAGAGACACTTTAAGTTGGCTACTGGGTCCTTCTGACATGATTCTAGTAGGCTTTGATAGCTTCTTTTTATCTGAAATGGTAAGATGTTCGAAGAATATCTTGTACATTTCTCAGATCTAGAATCAGACACTTCCTTAAGAATCCCTGATTTCATGGAAACTAGTATTTAGAGATCACAAACTGAGAACCGGGTATTCATTGATGTTGGGTTGGCCATTG